TATATTCCATATCTAGGCTGTATCACGCAGTCAAATCTCTATGCGATAAGTTTCTTCTTATCCCTAACTCAATCCAATTTGATTAATGATTAAAGCTGGTTGACTAATTTATTGAATAACTTGTGAACAGTTAAGTCTCATTTATGCGGCAGTTGTGGATAACACTTAGCAGTTAAATTGCAACCAGGGCGTAGATATCAGCTTCTTTTCATTGCTCAGTTAGTAGATTACTGGTTGTGTAACGTGAACTTACCATCCTTTAACACTTCACATGTCCATGTTTACGTTTATTTTCAACCATTGATTGATGAACTCATCAATGATTAAAGAAATTATTTAGACATCTTTCTGGTCGTTTTATCTGTACATGCAAACACTACGAAAACTTCATAGTTCCATTAACAGTAATGTCTAGTTCGCATAACACTTTATCAACTACTGGATTGTAAAGTTGGCTGCACTTTTAATAGTGGCTTAAGTGAAATCGGTGAATCCCGTTACATTCCACGAGTGATTCGTTGGTTGATTATACTTGGATCATAGTGCGATTGTTAATTTCCAGACTGGAACCACAATGTTCATCGTTCTAAACATTAGTATGTTATTTGTAAGGCTAATGAGTCATTACAAACACCGACTTGCTAAACGCGTATTATATTTCCTACAAATCGTAAGCGTATTCAGGAATATGATCGGTTTCGGTTAGGATATGAAATCTTTAAAATTATTCTATGACATAACAAAGCATGCTTGCTTAATGGCACTGTTAATTGCTATTTAAAATACAATCAACTTGTTAAAAGACCCCATATTACCAACAAAGAATTACCAAATTCAGTCATAAATATCAAAAACTAATAATACAAATCTTTCAAACAAATAATATTGAATTTTCAACCTTTGTTGTAATATCCGACAACTGCTTACAGGAAACAATGTTTAAAGTCAAATGATCGACTTGAATTACTCTTTCAGTTTATTTGACAGACGAATGAGTTCAGGAAAGACCAATAATATTCGAATAACGTGAAATACAGGAATCAAGGCAGAATAATTTGAATTCATAGTATTTCGTGATCTTTCGTCAGCTGCATGCAATATTCAACATCAGCATCTAACAATATTTACTCTCGACATACAAGTGGAACTTTACTGGGACATATTTCACAGAAACTGTGCAACGATCTTATTCTGAGATTATCCTTTGTACTTTATGGAGTTACTCCACATAGTAAAATGAAGTTTGTTAAAATGGAATATATTGTAAGAACTTATTACGCATTGAGCTTCGATTATGCTATTTATCATGCGATTAAGATTCTTTAGATAAAATGTCTATATACAAAGGATTTATCTCCACGAGAATGTTACTCACTCTAATCTTTTTGTGTAGACATAAAGAACACAGATTTCAAATTAAGCATATTTGGTAGTCCTGTGAACTCTGATTTTAACTCGACAGTGAATGGAACATCATAAAATGTGACGAATATTTTTAAGAAAATAGGAAAACTGCCGATTCAGTGAGGCAGTTATTAGATGTTTGGATGGTACTTGTAGGCAAACGTTTAGGTTAGCGATTCTTAATTATTGGAAGTAGCTTTGGTGAAATTTTGTGACCAAAATCGACCATCTGTTTGTAAATAAATCTGTTAACCGATTTGTAAAATCATGCTGATACCTGGGTAAGTAATGCTTTGCAGTAAGCTTGACAGAAGTAAATATTAATTAAGCCACCATAATTAGCTTAAAAGTATTAAACGTGGAGACATATTTAATAGCTCCCAGTCTATCATCAAAGACGATTTGCTACATTGTCAAAGACAGTTATTTTTATGAATGTCAATCCAAAAGGTAAATGTACTAGCAGGAATTATAAAGAAGCTGGAATCTTCATTTTTTGAGAAATAACTGCTTTTTTGTTGAGCACTGTATGATTAAAACATACCGATAAATGATTTTTGAGACAGGCTTGTGTTTTGATCAACCATGACGCCCATCTAAAAGTTTACTTGTTGCCGTGTACATTAGTTACTCAGGTAGTACACAGAATGGATTTCGTAGTTTCTAGAACTATCTTATTATATCATATAAAGATTGTAACTTAACTAACAGAAAAGTATGTGAAATGGCTTTTAATTTGTATTAATTAAGGTATTTAATTGGATGCTTGTTTATTGATTTTTTAATACAGTTGCCCAATAAGGCATCTGCCAAATGATAATCTCAAGCGACTGCCAAAGATATGGCTTCCTTTTCTAAGAAATGAAGTACTCTGTGGATGAGAATGATGACCTTCTTTCCACTGATCTATTCCGTTGGACTCATGTACAGAAAGCTTGTTTCACAATCGGATACAGCACAAGACAACAGTTTCTCTCAAATCAAATGTATTAAAACGATGGGGGGATATACTTATTTCGTTTTGGAAAACTTGTCCTACATAACAATAACTGTTACAATTCATTTCTGGAAACAGTAGCTAGTAACTAGTTTTCCTGATAAAAATACCCAATATTCATTTTTGGAAATTCGAAATCTACGACTTCAAACAAATTTGTCTGTATCGTTTCATTTTCTTCTCACAGTTACTACTTTTTTGTCACAAATAATCGATTACTAATTCCTCAAGATCTGAATTATTTGCATTTGGTTTCCTAAATATTTCGTCTCCTGCTTCAAACTTAATAACGGTTATTTAACAGTGTTCATTTCCTCATTTGAAAACATGTAACTATTAATTCTTTTTTATAACCATCATAGTTATTCTCCTCTCACTATATCTAAATTCGTAAAAAGCCAAATATTAAATTCATAGCAATACTTATTCTTACAAATATAGAGATCATTTAAAAGACGAAAATCCTGTATTATTTGTGAGATGATTCTTAAAAAAAGCTTGTAAATCTCTGTTTCCTGAGCTCTTCAACGACAAATATATACAATTTATTGAATCTTCAGAAATTGACGATTCTAAAATTTATCTATTCCTATATTCTGAAAAAGGAAACTTTAAAGAACATTCAAAAATCCATGTCAGTTGACACTAGAAACTAGACATATTATTACTATTATTTATTTATTTCAACTCATAGATAATGGTACAAAGAGGCACCAAATACATATGCGCCACACAAATCTCATCCGATATGTGTGAGGGCTGTGATACTGCCCGGGTGCCCAAACCGAAGCAGGTGGTTATCTTAGGGGGCCACACCCCGAGCCTTCAACCCAAAGGTCTGATCCACAAGGCAGTGGAGCATCGTAAGGAGATGCAGTCCCATGGAAGCCGGTGACCAACAATTGGTTCATTCGCCATTTGTTCCCGCAGGATACTGGAGCCCATGTGCACCATTGGTTTGGAATCCGGTTAAAGCGCCGGACATTCGCTTTTCGTCCTCTCATTTTCGTAAACAACACCCCCGCCACGAGAAGGCAGTGAGTAGGACTTCCCTGGCAGAGGCTATATACGCGTGATATTATTACTAGGCATGTTATTATTAAGTAAGTAGTCGCTACACTGAGACCCGTCTCAATTTATTCAATCCGAGAAAATTCATTAGTCAACCAGAAATAAATTTTAACTGAACTTTGTTGGGATGTAAGTTGATTGCAGGCAGTCGACAGGAAACTTTATACCCAGGTTTCATGCACGTCAACACTCGTTAGCTAGGTGTATCTACAGTGTCTAGGGAACTGATGATCCTTAATGGATTCGATCTCGTTTCACTTGGCTTCAGAGTCTGGATAGTTACCATTTAAATGTTCGGACACAAATATTTACAATTGTTTCATCACTGAGCAGTGATAAAACCAGGTCTGTTTGGCCATTCATAGACCGAATATTCCAGTGGTAACTACGCAAACTCTGAGGTTAAGTGAAACGGGATTGAATTCATTAAAGATCACTAGTTCTCTCAACATTATAGGTACTTCATATTAACAAGTGCCAACTAGCAGGAAATCTGGGTCTAGAGTCCACTGTTGACTACCTACAACCACTTAATATCCCAAGTGCGTGTGATGTTAAGTCACTTAGATCAGTGAGTACATTGCAGCTTGATTGGTAGAATTTGGTCAGCACTAATAAAAGGGCTAGACAAATATGACAGTGGTTACTACTCGGTGGTCAATCACTTGTTCAACCAAACTAGTAATGTACCAATAAAGACTCTCTATCCAGCCCCCAACAAATGAGAAAACTAACGAAAGCAGAATTTTCGTTACTACTTTACTCGAGAACGAACGATGGATATGTGCATATACATATAGAACTTCCCGGGGTCCGCTTGAAAATTAGCCAATGAAGGAGAACCGTGGTATCAAACTCAATTGCGCGCCCCCTATAGAAAATCTCACTCCTTTCAATAAACAACTTACTATTGTCAGAATGGGTTTTGTGGAGAGTTTTCTTAGAAATTTCACAGGTTGAAATCATGATTCGATTGAAGCTAGACCACTATTGAAAACCTGGAAGCACTGGACGGCCGTTTCGTCCCAGTACGGGACTCCTCAGCAGTGCGCATTCACGGTCCCGCACCACGCGGGGCTCGAACCTAGGACCTACTGGCTTTGCGTGCGAGCACTTAACCATTAGACCAATGAGCCGGCATCCAATGGTGTTAATGTCTAACTTCAACCAATCCACGAAGTTGCGCCACCGTACACCATTGTCTTCAGTGAGTTGTTATCTCACAACAGACCTGGTTGAACTCCACTGGTAACGGCTTCTCACTAGAACTCCAGGAGTTTTTCTTCAAGTCAGTCACTAGTGAGCAGTTGATTATTATCAGAATGGGTTTTGTGGAGAGTTTATACAAATTTCATAGGTTGAAATCATGAATCAATTGAAGTGCTTCCAGGTTTTCAATGGTGGTCTACCTTCAATCGACTCATGATTTCAACCTGTGAAATTTCTAACTTACAATTGATTACAAAGGTATTATTCCTCGTGAAATGCAAAACTAAATCTCACTGAAAACTGCTTTAAATAAAATATAAACAAATTTATGATTACTATTATTTTACAAATTGTATTCTATAGAGGAAAAATTTGGTAGCACTGCAATTCTGTGTATACGATTAACGTTTTGTGCTAAAAATGAGTTTTCCGAAAATAACAGATTTCAGTGTTATACTACTGACACTTCACAATGATGACTTCAGATTGTTATGAAAATAGGGGTCACAAAACTAATCCTTAGGTAACAAACAAATATCCTTCATCGGCATCAGTATCAGAATGGAAAACATTATCCGTATGCGTTAAAAACTGTAGAGAAAAAGAAAAAAACAATAATAAAACATAATTGTTGTACTGAAAAAATACTTGTACTATTTTTCCAAAACTAAACATAGGTATTGTATAGTGTTCAAGGGACAAAATTAGATAATTAGGTATACTTTAAATGACATTCAGCTATGGTTATGAGTCTATAGGGGCCGGTTCTACGTCAAGCCCACGCAGGTTATTCAAGCCTCTGGACAGATCAATCTATTCGTTCTTCTCTAGCCATATTTTTAACCTATCACTTACTGGCTTATCAACCTTGGCTGTTTTTATGTAAGCGTATGTGTGCACATAGCTTACTCATCACATGTCTGTAACTTATTTTTGTCTGACTATAAATATTGATTTACACTCGCTTGAGTCGAGTTGGCTCACACGCCTCCTCCATTGTATGTCATCTAGTTTCGCTTCTCTTTCCTCTTCATTTCCTTCGCTCCGTCCCTGATCGTTTGTTCTGATCAACGATTGTACAAAATATACGTATTCGAAACTTCATTCTCGTATTTGACTTATATAATTCTGTTATTCATTAACGCGAGTTAAGTCGATAATATTATACGAGGACTGACGAAAACGATAATCCCACGATTTAAATGGATTCATATAAGGAGCCACTAAAAGTCGCTGAAATTGTGCATTCGCAACAAACAGAGATTATTACAAATGCTTGAGTCAAATCAAGTCAGTGGATACAAATAGGATATGAACAACAATAATAAGTTTTATCAGTTTAGGGGTTGTGGAGATTGTTAAGTATTTGATTGACATCATGAGCCGATTGATGTTAGACCACCATTGAAAACCTGGAAGCATTGGACGGCTCTTTCGTCTTCTTGTGGGACTCCCCAGCAGTGTGTATTCACGATCCCGCCTGAAGGATTCGAACCCAGGGCCTTCAGTCTCGCACGTGAACGCCTAACCTACTGGATCACTGAGTCGGCATCCAACGATGTCAATGTCTAACCCCAACCAATTCACAAAATTGCGCAACCAACTTCCATTGTACTGAGGTAGACACCTGTTTCTACCAGACACGGATTAGCTCCATCAATCGGTTCACGATCTCAATCAAAATAATAAGTTTATACTTTCAGTTACAAATTGTATTCACCGTATATAACCTCTCGGAACGAAAGGACCAAAGAGAAAGAAATCTAGAGAATCTTTTTCAAAACGAACAATCTCGATGTTTATCTTAATGAATAAAACATCCATTCATCAATTTACCATTGGATTGGATAGATGCAATTAGTCATAAAGAAAACGTTACAAAATTAATCATCTTCAGAGTGACTATATCTATTTATTAATATGGTTTATATAAAATTGTAAACAGCGAAAATCAGAACTGTTAATTGTTTGACTCTAGAAACTGTGAGTTAGACACAACTGAAAACACAGTAAACAAACATATGTATAAGTACAGCAACGATTTCAAGTATGATAAGACTGAAGTACAGAAGGGTTGGTTTTATTTCCGTACAGGAAATAAATTATCAAATATCTCAACACTTACAATCTCAGAATTTACTATATTTAAAATTTGCCATAAAAATATACCTGGCTTAGTTTCTTGATGAGTTTCTATGAGATCAATATCTTCAAGGTCGTTATCAATGTGATATTTCAACATTTCTAATCCTTCTGTAAAAAACTGATGAAAATGAATTTATTTAGTGTTGAACTTTTAAGTTGTGTTTGTCTAGCTACATGAATTGAATAAATTTACTCACTAGTGATGAATCACACAACAACGACAAAATCTGACAACTCCAGTTAACCAAGCCAACCTGAACCATCTCACTAGTTAAAATTCCAAAGTCAAACAAGATTTATTATGTAGATAGACATTGATTCAATACGTTGTTTTACATAAATGAATTGTCTTAAAATGAAAATCTAAGACACCCATTAATTCATCATAAATAAAACGTCAAGTTATTAAGCTGACTATTAATCCTAATAAACTGTTGATGGGTAAACTAAATTCAGAAAATTATCCAGTAATCGATGCTTTCGGGAGTTCACCAATTATTTTCGGTTCAGAATACAACTAATTATTTTCAAATAAATAAAAAAGTGAAACAGTCATATTTTATTTTCACTTTCGTAAACTTAAAGCAGTGATGTAAAGTAGTTGATAAAGCACTTTACATTAAACTGGTAGCGAATATCTCAGCGTGTTATGTGAGTTTCTGTAGGATGTTTTGGACCAAAATTTTTCAATTGTGCGTAGATGATGGGGGGGTTATACTATTCCACATAAGATGAAATTTTACTGCTTGGGTCGGTGAGCTGTAGCTATTGTTGGAGAAACCAATAAGAAAAATATGCATTTTCTTGCTCGTCTAGTGTCATTCAAAGTTTAGTAAATAAATCTATTAAATGTACTCACAATATCCTCACTTATCATGTCGTGATACGTAGCCAAGGGCAAACATTCACCAACTCTATTGGTAGCTCCATCAACTGAACAAATTCGATTTAACAATACGTCACAAACTAAAGCTAATTGACAAACAAAACAAATAGTAAACTTATAATGCATTCTATATTTAAACACATTCGTGTTCTAAATGTTTCTTTTTCATTTTTTGGCAGTAAATTCAAACAAACATCATTCGTAGTCTCGTAGAATACACTTGAAAAATCAAATTTACGATGTTGGAAAGTATTTGTATGCATGTGGAACACATAATAAAGCTATCCAGAATTATTTCATGTAAAATTAAGTGTAAAAGTCACTGTCTCATAGAATGACTGAAATTATCATCTCTGCGACAATGTGTTTTCTCACATTAAACAGTTGATTAGGCAAGGATTTACGAAGACCTCTATTTCCAGAATATAAGGTTTGTTATCTTAAATATTGTTCATCATTTCGACATGTGATCAAATTAAATGAATAGGGAAAAAATATTTCTAGCTGCGTTCTCCCTAATAAATCTAAAAGTGGTTTTCTAGACAACCTATTGATCTCAATTAGGGTCACAAAAACGACATTTAATTGAATTACGTAATTGAATTGAGAGGATACTCTCATGAAAACTATTTATATCTGTTTAAGAAAACCATTACTTAGGAAACAAAGTTAGACTTGCTGAAATTTTTACCCGATAAATACGAAATTCCATCTGACTAATATTAATGTCAGCCTTTCAAATATCTCTATCTTGTGCCAGTTATAAACTAATTCCCATTACATATCCTCCAAACAGTTTTAAAGGTCAACGAGAAGAATATTGAGTGTGGTAAACCCCTGAATAGCATTCACATGGCCCATCTGGACAAAAGATGCCAGTAATTTAAGACACATTCACTAGTTGAAAATCATCTACACCCTGTTAAACACAGGTCTACGGAATCTACTTCATTAATATGGATTTTTAAGCAAATTAGAATATTCTTGTGAAAACATTCATTGTGAAATAATCATTAAATGTTCTAAGCTTGAGAGATATAGGCTCAACTCTCAGTGTAATATTAAAATAAAATGATGTCCATAAAATATAACAACTATATGTAATTACAAATATCTCAATTGACTATAACGCTGACATGAACTTAAGCTAGCAAAATTTATATAAAGTCATTCACAGTCATAAATGATAAAACCACAACCTCGAATTATACTTAACTTTTTAATAGTTTCTCTTCAATCGGATTGTTTGTATATGTACCAGTAATTGGACCAGGGATTGAAAGTGATAACAATGAGTCAACAGCCATTGAAATGAGTACATCACCAGGCTTTTTTCTTGCTACCTTATCGATCTGTAATAAGTTTTTACCAGTATTTTCGTGATAATATCAATTTATCAATTAATATAGTTAAAAAAAACATTGCGTCATACACCATACAATTGTCATGTCTTACATAGTTTTATTTTTTAATTTTACATAATTATCCGAAGGAAAAACTGGCGGTACAAAACCTATTCAAGGAAACAAAGTCCATTCATACCTATGTAACATTTCAACTCATTCTAACAGTAAGTTGATCTTTCATAATTTGTGATAGCGGACTTCAACGTTTCAACCGATGGGAACGCAACGAGAAACAACGTTGTCAAAAAGACTTCCTCTATATCTGTTACGTGAGAAACAACAGCGCTTGTACTAGGCACGTTACTCTCCTCCATAATGATGATTAAAATGTACTTCGTCGACAAGTACTGATGTTTTATAACAATCCGACAAAACATAACTAACAAATTAAAAACGAACTTTAAAACTAGCCATTTCATTGGACAAAACGGGATGAAAAATATTGCAATTTTGGGTTGAAAAAACATTTTTAAAAAGGGTGGGTGGGTTTTTTTTTAAAAATTGCTGTGGGGCTAATCAATTTCGTGGGATGGATATAGGTGCTTGTAACGTCTTCATTATGGAACCTACCTGAGAGCCGATAAACGCTGTAGACTAGGATGTGTACAAATTTTGGTTAGAGTTAATTTAATGATTAAAATAATGAAGTTATAGTTTAGTAATTGGTTTTGTCATAAATGACATACAAAAAATATGTCTTACTTGATACAACTAATAGAGTTAAATATCTAAACGCCATTAGTAATGCACAATTTACAAGCAAAAACAAAACCTTTTTAATGTAGTTAACAATATATGAATGTTTTAAATCAAAGGTATATCTTAGATTGGTCAAGGGTTCTAAATTGGGGAAACGAGATTTTCAACAAACATGTATATTATGGCAACACAACACTTATTTGGAGAATTACAAATCTTCATGCTTGATACCGTAATAATGTACCCCGTTAATGATCAACGGTGTTATTAAGGAACTCATTAATATTTAGTACATACATTTACTATCGCCGAATGTCATATATATTTAGATTAATTCATATTGTGATACTACGTGTTTTTTTCTTGCTTATTGATCAAAAAACAGCTGAAGTATAAAAAAATTCAGTCGAACAAATACAAAATTTCTAGATTGACATCATGAATGGATCAATGATGGTCTATCATTAATCCATTCATGACATCATATTAAACTCAACAATCTCCACAACTCTACACTGATAAATACCAAATTGTTTGGAAATATTTCTAAAGGAAAATGCAGGTTTATTGGATTACTCTAACGATTTCTTTTAATTAGGGGATCCTACCTTCACTTGAATTTCACATGTTGCTAGCAGGATAAAGATTAGATTAAAACATGTCCCATGCAGGATTGTGTTGGGGCAAGCTGATTGGCCATTTCTTAATCAATTAGTTCTGGATGATACTTGTAGAAGACTCTAGAATCTCCTCACGTAAAAATTATAAATATATCAACGTTTTTCTTATTGTGATCCTCACGTCCATCCAACCTTGTCATCTTGAAATATAAAAGATATCATAACAGTGGCGACGAAGTAAAAGAGAAAACCATAACCATAATAGTGCACGAAACGACATGTTTACTTATTTACTGAAATCCAATGAAAAGTGTCAGTGGACGTCAATGACAGATATAACTGATTTTTACTACCTGCTGTAACTCCTATATTATTTTTGGCGTTTGAATAAATTGAATTGAGATTGAGTAAGAAGAATCTTAGGAAAGCATATAAACTAAGACGGTAATACTAGTATAGAATTCTTGGCATTCAATCGTTTTATAATACAACCAAGCAAACACATCATTTTTCTTTTAAAAACAATGAAATTTTATTTGACTACTGAATTACCATTTTTAGCCGATTCATCCGCAAGATTTTATACTGAAGATTATATTCATTGGTAGTCAACTCTTTGATCGTTTCACTTATTGTTTGTTCAAAAATAATGATAAAAACGAATTCTTCTCCCATTGTAAACCTAATCTGTAACATAAAAATATTCATCGGAATCTTATCTAAAGTAAAATCGGACAAGGGATTTAAACTAAGGCATAACAAAGCTTACCAACGATAATGATGCTATCGAGATTAGTCCAACGGGAAACTGGCATGGTTTTTAGTTGAAACGACAATGTAGTTGATTTCCTCTTTCCGAAGTGTTTCAAAGTATAGTACTTTAATGTATTTCTTTCACTCCCTATCTCATTATAAGGTAAACTGATAATTTACCCTTATAAAAGATATGTTAAGTAAAAGTGTCCTTCAAATTCTGGAGAACTCAGGTCTTCCTTGGTGTTAGTTCTCTGCTTACTAATGATCACTATGCGCCACATCTGTGACTATAATAACCCACAAACGCAGGCGCCAGTTTGCGAAATAATCGTCTGAAAGGGCTATTGTTACTTCGTATTTTCAACACCTGATTGAGTTTCAACAATTAAGTATAAAGTCAAAGGGAAGACATAGCTATGGGACCCCGTTAGAATCACTAATACCACAGTGTTTCACGTCTATTCTTGAAGACAAGCAACTTAGTTTGGTCATCAAACAATTTAGATTTTACGGAAAGACATATGGACAACACGCTCGCCATTTGCGATGAAAATGCTCACTTAAATTTTATTCTATGTTCTTTCCATATCTACCTACTTGACCAAAATTCCAATATACTTAAAAATCATTTACCTTCAGTAATTGAAAGATCTATGCAACAAAACTGCCATTAAAGTTAAGAACTGAAATCTCCTTTCCATATATGTGAAGGATAGACTCTCTAGTCTAGTCATCTCTCAATCCACCTACTAGCCTACCTACTCCTGTGAACTGAGACACATAAGGCGTATCTAGTGATCGCTTTAACACGGATACGAGAACATTTCCCAGTAGAGTGAGAGAGGCTGTTAGGAATTCCATCACGAAACATTCATTCAACTCTAATCACCCAACTAATTCACATGTTGACTTTAAAGATATTTATAGAATACGACAAAATATACCAAGATTTCTTCCCATTCAACTCTTCAAAATAGCAGAGGCTCTTCCTAGCCATGAAGTGACACCTTGTCTACGAGCTCAAAAAATATTCGCTGATCATTATCTTTACGATGGTCTCAGTATACCATTATTTTATTTTCATTTCTTCGAGTGAATATTTGAAAATAAGCAATGAAACAGTGACAACCATAACACCGACAGCAAGAAGTAGCTCAAACAAGATAATCGAATGTTGGAAAACACAGGAAATAAGAATTGTAGGTTGATAGCGCATACGTAGGTCTGAAAAACTGTGAATGACTTTAATTAACATCGTTTGGTTTTCAGCTTCTGTAATCCTGTAAAATATACAAAGGACGTCTACAGTTGATGGAAAATATTTGTAGCTCAATATGAAAATTTCGCAATTGCTATGGTTTAGTTGTTTAGTCTCCATTGTTCTTCAGAACAACATCATCATTACTCACTTCAAAGAGAGGTGAACTACTAAAATTTCTCCGCAAATGACTAACAGCTTATTGTATTGACCTGGAATTTGGTTGATTGTCATCCAAAACCGTGTGGTCGTTGTTTTTGTTATTTTCTCTCCCGACCTACACCCTAGCCTTGCATTTTTTTAGATCCATTTTCTTACTGATTGACAGGTATAGTTGCTTCCGATATGCCTGTTAACTGACGCCCAATTAGAATCCCAGACGTCTAAAAACTCTGGCTTGTTGTGTGTTTTCTTTGTTTAATATTTCAGCGTTTCTCCAGTCAAACTCAAAACCACGGTTGTCCACATGTGTTGATATATGCGAAGCTATGTTATGTCGTCTAACAACTAACTGATGTGCATGTAAACGTAAACGATGAGGTCAGGACTCAGGTCGAGAGAGAAAACAACCAAAACAAATGTAAAAACAACGACCACATGGTTTTGGATGACAATCAAGCGAATTCCAGGTCAACGCAATAAGCTGTTAGTCATTTGCGAAGAAATTCTAGTAGCTCACTTCGCTTTGAAGTGAGTAACGACGATGTTGTTCAGACGAACAATGAAGGCTAAACAACCAAACAATTTAACTCAGAGACCAGAACACTGCTAAAAAAGTCTACGGCCTTTTTTCACATGATCCGAATAATCACCGATCAATGTCGTGGTCTGACCTTTTACATCTATAAGGATAGGACATTGTAACAGACTATTTAAATACATATGATACATATCGTTGTAACACCGATTAAATATATACGTACACTTTCATTAGATGAGTCGCTTTGATTATTTTGTGTTTTCTTCCTGATGCATTTAACACTTTTGATTTAATCGAATGAAATTACTAGAATTATCTGTAATAACTGAGGTCATTTTATAAATGTGGTTACCTCGCCATTACTAGTGACTCAAACTGATAGATTATGCAGAAATAAAGTTGAATACCAGAAGAAAAATACAATTCACTTACAATTCTTGGTACCGTAAACTTTATTAGTCTTAGTAAAATACTCTCAAGAATGTCAAATGCTAAGGCATTTTTAACAGCTCTATCTGCCGAAATCGTACACCAAATCTTTTCCCGGTTATTTAATTTCTCATCAAACTTTTGTACAATTGATTGGTATAAATCACTTGTTTGACTGAATTCTTCAGGTTGAATAACTTTATTTAATTCAGACATGATTACTTTGGGTGTAATACGTTGAGTGGTACCACTTTTTGATTCCTGTGTTTTGTTTAAAGACATGGAAGAATAATATAAACAGTATCCATCCTTTTTTTAAATAAGATTTTCAGGGATAATTTCTCACTAATTATTCCCTTATACTTATCATCTATCTGTCGCAAAGTAAATCAATGAACTCTAATAAACAAGAGACTCCATCTAGTCTATCACACATTCAAAGATATTCAGTGGTATATATATATAAGTATACATATTTACATTTATGCTTTATTGAAAAATGATTGTTAATAGACGGATTAATTAAGTATCATTGACTACATACATTGAAACGTTAAAAGTGAGGAATTCTAGTTCACACTGAACATTCAAAAAGATATTTCATGCACGGATAGATTATATACATATACACTACTACTGAGACGAGTTGAATTCGGTTTGAAAATTGACAAAGAAAGACTTATAGCACTTTAGAAGTAACAAACAACTATAGCTTTAAATTAATCTCGTTTGTTTGAATCTTCCCATTGATTTTTAGGACTGCAATTGATCAGTCTCTTATTGGTGTGTGTTCATCTCGGAGTAAACAACTCTGGGATGCCAGTAAATCCAGCTGACGAGTCCCAAGTAGAACGACACGCGCGTCCTAAGTCCCACTGATAGTCAATATCCATCTTTGCTAACTATAACTTCGTTATAATAATTTTGGTAATGATGTTCTATAACTTTTAATAATTAAACTGATTTTAAAGATTTTTTAGCTATTCTGTTCTATTTATTTGTCTACGAAAATGTGGATCGTAGATTTCTCATTGGTACTTTTGTTGTTCTACCCTCTTTAAACATAACTTAGCATTGTGCCAGGAATTATATATTATTTTCCATATTATTTTACACACCAAATATGAGATAACAGCTACCAATTAGGTTTAATCCAGCAGATAGTTCATTAATTAAGAAATAACATCTCGCCTTATCCTTTAGGTACTTTGTGCGTGTTTGTGGAATTCAAACATTGTTTTAAATATTTTTTAAATATAATTAAGACAATCAAATATGTATTTGGTCCATTAAAATACTTCAGCTATTACTTCTTTAAAAGCGATAGCATCTAAATTTGAAAGATTAGAATTAATATCTTGATAAATTTCCTTTATAGAATCCAGAAGTAGTTGCGGAACTAATTCAGCTTTTACAGTATTACTGATAAGTTCAAATCCGTATTGTAAAATTGCATTTTTTCCCAAATCGGTATTCCATTGTTCTAAACCCTTCGAAATTTCCGGACCTGTAAAAAGCAACTCAGTGACATAACACTAAAAAGCCCTAGATTTACCTGTTGTCATGTAGGGTTCTTTAGTACTGATTATCAACCTAATTTGAAATGCTTGCAGTTTGTGACAGTAATATGATGTTTATATATTCCTATTCGGCGACTGAAGTGTCCAGGATTATTCTAAAAGTTCTGAAGTATAAATGAGGAATAATTTTTAAAATAGTACATAAATATCCTACCAATAAGAAAATACTTATTTAAATGTATTATATCTTTGGAAAGCTCTTTAAATACGTTACGTTCAACCAAGATAAGTAAAATAGCACATCTAAAATACCGTGTCCATATACGCGTTTTCAATTTTCAGTGTAATTTTAAAACTTAACATGTTAACAAATGCCCACTTAAAGCTACGCACAAGCCAAAAGAAACGTCTACATCAATAAATTCAGCTTGTATGGAGCTTAGTGTCAACGAGGTAGACATTATATTCAGGTTCGTCCTCAAAATCCCACACCACCGCTGAATACGTTGCTCTTTTACAAAATCACGATTTTCTAGTTACCAAACGGTTGCATCTTTTTTTCCATCAGCAAAACCATTCACCAGACGAGATAAGTTTACATTCTGACCCACCAAATGATAATAGAAATTAGATCACATACTGAAATCGAGATTTCAAATTCTGAAGCAAAGATATTATTGTCTAATGCATCTTATTAGTAATCTCAAGGTTACGGTGTTTTCGAAAATTTCCAGTTTGATAGTTTTTTACTCTCATCTCGTTTGCTTTTGTCAATACATTCGTACTTTTCGTAAAATTGATTATGTTTAATTTTAGAGTTTAGATCAATCATTTTTTTCATAAGTTTATTACAACTTATACCTTAGTTTAGTCTCACCACAAAGAACCCTAAAATCACTTGAGTTTGTCTAATTATTAAGTTGCACTGTAAATAAGATCAGACAGTTATTTGGTAAAATCTGCAAAGCTTACCATGAACTACATCTACTTCAGATTAATGAATAGCAATATTTAGTTGACCCTAATGAACTTAAAATTAAATCAGAAAACACAATTATTTAACACTATGTAGTCATTTGTCACAGGTTTATTAAGATTATATTAAAGTCGAAGTTCTGATAGTAACATTTTTACCAAATAAAATTTTCGTTAAACACAGAGATGAGCAATATTGTTTTCAATTAGATCTTCATCAAGCTCTACTTCCATTTACGGCAAAATTTATTCACCCATACGAAGAATAGATCAGTCAAGGAAATTTATGTTAGAGACGATAACGAGGTGGATTACACAACTGCCCATAATTAAAAAAAAAGTAAAATTGATGATAGAATTGCAAGTACACTAGCAATGGTAAAGATTAACCGAAGTAGCATAAATGAATACCCCAACCTGAGAAAATAAACTCATCAAAAGGATTGTCACGAAAATTATGTAATCAAAAGTTAGTAATCAGCCTAATTAAATAATTAATAAGTAAGAGATACAAAGTGAGGAAATTGAAGCAAAATGTATGTAGAATTATTATAATCCTCTAGTAAGTTTCCTACAGCCAAGGAAGGAACAAAAGTATTATAAATATTTAATAAATGACAGAATGGAGTTACTAGCTCACATTTCCATAGTTTCTGACTAGTGTAAGAAATGGGATTAAAACACACTGAGAGAATGTGAAGGTATATGGTGGATCGCTTAATATGATTGGGTCTTATGTGTCACATGAAAATGGTGATCAAGTATGGCCAAATATAACTGTCCATTGACGGTTTCGTCCATTTCCAACTGAAAGCAATATTTCCCGCTTGTATTAATTGTTTTGGTCTACACAATGAGAGTTTTTAGTTTAGTTTTAAACACAATTTATTTATTCGGAAATGCTCTCAGATTGAACAACACAAGGAAACATTTTTAACTTTGCTTTCTGATTAAACGTCAACTAGTCAATCACCCATCACAATCAATGAACATCTTTGTTTAGTTTATGTCATTCACTGCTTGAAGATTCACGCAGTAAAATAGCTTTCTCTTCTTTTTAACAATGTTTTTGACAATCATAATGTCTACTACAACAGACTAGAATGTTTACATTTCTCTTTCTTATGGCAAAAACAAATCATTGGAAACACGATGAAATGACTGTTTCTACATGAAGAAACTAACAGGAGAGACAAAATATGATGCAAACAAAGCATTTTGTCTGCCTTTTGACAATTTAAACCGATAGCAAACAAGAATGTAAGTGGATGATTGGTATTAAAATCCAAAAACATTAAAGAGCATTCTCAGCAATATATGGATTTCAATCGATTGTACTAGACTATCATGGTCTAACACAATGTCCTTTACTCGACCTTCAAATTCTATCAAGACTATTGTTGCTTTATTTGTGATCGTTCATTCCTTAAGTCACTCATAAACTGCTCTTGTTGGTAGAATTTCTATTTTAATCTATCGCTAGACTGTCACCTCATTCTTACTAACTTACTAACGTATGTTACTCCCAATGGAGCATAGGCCGCCGACCAGCATTCTCCAACCCACTCTGTCATGGGTCTCCTTTTTTAGTTCCATCCAATTCCTGTTCATTTTTCTCATGTCTATTTCCATTTCTCGGCGTAATGTGTTCTTCGGTCTTCCTCTCCTTCTTTGGCCTTGAGGATTCCATGTGAGGGCTTGCCTTGTGAAGCAGTTGGGTGCTTTCCTCAATGTGTGTCCTATCCACTTCCAGCGCTTCTTCCTGATTTCTTGCTCCGCTGGGATCTGGTTTGTTCTCTCCCACAGTACGTTGTAGCTAATAGTGTCCGGCCAACGGATCTGAAGTATTTTGCGTAGACAACTGTTAATAAACACCTGTATTTTCTGGATGGTTGCTTTCGTAGTTCTCCAGGTTTTCGCCCCATACAGTAGAACTGTCTTGACACTTGTATTGAAAATCCTGACCTTGGTGTTGGTTGACAGTTGCTTTGAGTTCCAGACGTTTCTCAGTTGTAAATATGTTGCTCTTGCTTTGCCGATCCGCGCCTTCACATCTGCATCAGATCCCCCATGTTCATCAATGATACTGCCCAGATATGTAAAGGTTTTTACATCTTCCAAATATTTTCCGTCAATTGTGATTGGATTGGTGCATGCTGTGTTGTATCGGAGAACCTTGCTCTTCCCTTTGTGTATATTGAGACCTATCGCTGCTGAGGCTGCTGCTACACTGTTCGTCTTCTACTGCATTTGTTGTTGCGTTTGGGATAGAAGGGCCAGATCATCTGCGAAGTCCAGATCGTCCAACTGCATCCTAGATGTCCATTGTATCCCGTGCTTCCCTTCAGATGTTGACGTTTTCATGATCCAGTCGATCACCAGGAGAAAGAGAAAGGGTGAGAGTATGCAACCTTGCCTAACACCGGTCTTCACTTCGAACGACTTTGTCAACTGTCCTCCATGCACGATTTTGCAGTGCAATCCATCATATGAACTCTGTATGATATTGACTATTTTCTGAGGCACACCGTAGTGTCGAAGAAGTTTCCATAGTGTTGTCATGTCCATCCTATCAAATGCATTTTCGTAGTCAATGAAGTTCATATAGAGTGATGAATTCCATTCAATTGATTGTTCCACAATGATCCGTAGAGTTGCGATTTGGTCTGTACAGGATCTATCCTTACGAAATCCTGCCTGTTCTCGAAGTTGTGCGTCTACAGAGTCCTTCATTCTGTTTAACAATACCCTGTTGAAGACTTTTCCCGGTATTGAGAGAAGAGTGATGCCCCTGTAGTTATCACAGTTGCTGAGATCGCCTTTCTTCGGTATTTTGATCAGAAGTCCTTCTTTCCAGTCTGTTGGTACTTGTTCCTCATCCCAAATCTTATTGAAAAGAATGTAGAGTATCCTTGCATTTGCCGCTACGTCTGCTTTCAGTGCCTCTGCTGGAATGTTGTCTGTTCCTGCTGCTTTGCCAATCTTGATTTGTCTGATGGCCATGCTGATTTTTTCAATTGTTGGTGGGCCAACATTGATTGGGAGGTCCGTGGGTGCTGCTTCGATGTTGGGTGGGTTCAGTGGAGCTGGTCGATTCAAGAGTTCTTTGAAGTGTCCTACCCACCTGTTTCGTTGCTCTTCAATGTTGGTGATTACCTCGCCTTCCTTGCTTTTCACTGGTCGTTCTGGTTTGCGGCGATTTCCAGAGAGCTTCTTTGTTATGTCATACAGTTGTCTCATGTTCCCTTCTCTAGCAGCCTTTTCCGCCGTCTTTGCTAGATCTTCCACATATTTACGTTTGTCGGTTCTGATGCTCCTCTTCACTTGTTTGTTTACTACTGTGTATTCAGCTTGTGCCTTGGCTTTTTCTGCTCTTGTTCGACTAGTATTGATTGCTGCTTTCTTGTTCCTCCTTTCTTGAATCTTATCCAGTGTATCAACAGTGATCCATTCCTTGTGATGGCGCTTCTTGTGACCCAGGACCTCATGACATGTTGAAGTGATTGCCTCTTTGATCCCCTTCCAGTTGCTCTCCATAGTAGTTCTTTCTCCATTGAGTAGATCATGAAAGGCCTGGAACTTATTACTGAGGGCTAACTTGAATTTGTTGAGTTTTCTAGTATCCTGAAGAAAGGCCGTATTAAACTTTTGTGATATTGTCCGCCCCATTGTCCAGTGTTTCTTGAGTTTCAATTTCGTCTTGGCGACCAGCAAATGATGATCTTAGTCTATATCAGCTCCTCTCTTGGTTCTCACGTCCTATATAGTCCTCCTGAACGTTTTGTTGATGCAAGTATGGTCGATTTGGTTTTGCGTGGTGTGATCCGGTGAAGTCCATGTGGTTTTGTGAATGCATTTGTGTGGGAATATGGTGCCGCCTATGACCAGTTTATTGAAGACACATAGGTTTGCAAATCTCTCACCATTTTCGTTTCTTTCTCCCAGTCCTTGTCGTCCCATGATGTCTTCATATCCAGTGTTGTCCGTTCCAACCTTGGCATTGAAGTCTTCCATCAGAATGGTCAGGTCCTTTGTTGGGCACTTCTCGATGATTAACTGCAGCCTACTTTAGAATTGATCTTTAGCGTCTTCATTGTAGTCGTTGGTAGGCGCATAGCATTGGATGATGTTCATTGAAATGCCCTCTTTCTTTGTTTTGAATGAGGCTTTGATGATCCTTGGTCCATGAGATTCCCATCCTGTAAGTGCATTTTGTGCTTGTTTGAACAGCATCAGTGCAACTCCTTGTGTATGTGGAGCATTTTCTTCTTCATAGCCGGAGTATAACAGAAGCTCTCCTGAAGTTAGTCGTTGTTGTCCAACTTGCGTCCAATGTGTTTCACCAATCCCAAGCACCTCTAGGTTGTATCTCCTCATTTCTGCAGCAATTTGGAGGGCTCTCCCGGTGTCCCACATTGTACGAACATTCCATGTACCTAAATAAATGGTTGCTCTGGTTGTCAGAAGGGGCATCGGCCTCGTAACTTCCGAAGGAATTCGGCTTTCATCATGAGGCGTCATAGTTCTTCTAAATGAAGACCTTCTGATTCCCGGGGCAGAGTTTAAAAGGTTCGAATAATTTTTTTCTGGTTAGGGTATTTTTAGCGAGTTAGTCTTCTACGGGATGGGGACGCTAACTTCATGCCCAACCCTCCTCCTTTATCCGGGCTTAGGACCGGCAGTAGCCCCCGGAGAGACTCCAGGCAGAGTTGTCACCTCATTCGGTTTATCCTAAACCTTCAAACTGTATTGCGTTAACGAATGACATTATGGATGTTTTTGGGATATAGCAGCATTTAAGTGTTACCATGAAGATATATGGACGTCATATTCAAGTAAGGTTTCCGGCCGTTGTGTAATCTGTTCTTAGTAATGAAGTGTTTTAGTTATCTCAACACCTTGTTATCCATCCGAGTAAAACGTACTTTATGTTGAGAACGATGAGCATGTCAGACCACTGCCAACATTCATCTTCAAGAGATAACTCACTCTTGTTTGGAATAACTACACCTCCCATAAGCAGATTGTGTTGTAATCCGAAACCAATGGACTAATAGTCTTTAGAGGAGTCCAAGATCAACCAACTTACATTATAAACGGACTCTGGAGATGCAACCATAAACATCCGCCCCATAGGTTGTTTAGGCTATAGAAAGGTTAATGAGATCAGTCATTCTTCTCAACGAGTACATTCCTATTAAGATAGTTAGGTACAATATCTTAAGAAATTCTCAACAACTAGTTGTTAAACTCCGGCGTTGGTTAGTCTTGTAGCACAACCCACACATGAGGAGCATCAATGTTTTGGCTACACAAACAAATGTATATTTCATAAAAACACAGGACTTCACTAGTTTATAAGCAAGTAAACAGCATTTTATTGGCAAGAAACTAATGAAACTTTCAACGATAAGTCACTCTGAGCACCAAAGCTGTTCAGATACTCTAAATAAGGTTAATACTACATCAGTATCAATGCAAGCACAATTTATCAGAATATATATATATATATATATATATATATATATATATATATATATATAATTTTATTTAGCCTTTACAGATGTTTTAAATGCTCGTGAAACAATTGCTAAGTAATATTTACGTAATTTACCACCGTATGTACGACGTTTAATAAAGCCGTGGTAAACTAGCGAAAAGTGAAAACCAATAAGGTTTTATGGCGATAACATATTTCAGAGTTTATACATAACAGTTCATGTAACCTCCAGTGCATTCTTCAACACAGAAAAGTACAATGAGGAATCGCAGTATCCAACTCAATCAAATGGCACTTAACTTTTTCTTCATTTATTTAAATGCATGCATCCGCTCTTTCCAATATTACTGTAATTCCCAACGTGTTTTATAACACATTTGTATTAAGCATTATTAAATAAACACTTGTAACTGTTGGTTGTTGCACTACTACATAATTCAAGTGATTAAAGCGCTTCTCCTCACTTACAGCCCTACTTTTGCGGTAAGTTCCTTTAGCTGAACCATTTCTCGCTAACTATTCTTTTCTAAGCCTATTTTAACCTTCTCCGTTCTACTGAGTATATTGAAACAAACTAGAAAAAGCGAGTAAACTTTATCATGCATCAATAATTCGTTTGAGCCGAGAAGCCCTTCTAGTGAATATATACCCGATTTCCCAATCTTGAGAAAAATTCTGTCAATCAAAATGGTTTTGAAAAATTTGGGGAACTACGACCGAAAACCCCGAAATTCCTTTTGTTCTGGTGCTTTTCCTCGAAATTTCAACTCACTTTGAGTTCACACATAAGCTTTGCTTTAAATATTTTTTAGGCTGTGGTTGAAGATACAATTTTTCTGTCAGTCACAAATGTTAAAGTTGAATAGTCACCCAAATGTAAGCATTGTCGACAGACATATTTGTAGAAATTTTTGACAAGTCATACTAATATAAACCAGCATTCTGAATAATGTCGGTTGGGTAGATGATTTACTTTCCCTGATAAATTAAACGAGAACTTCCTAAGTATACAAGCATTAGTAAACCGTACCGTTAGGTTTAGCGGAACGTTGTTCATTTGACGTGATTTTACAGGGGAGAAAGTGGACAGTTTGATGTTGATTTTTGAGAAGAGTAAGTATTTTGATGAATGCACAGGTGTTAATTTCGAGAAATTTTCACTCCACAGGGGAATTGCAAGGAAATCTTGTACTATCTCCCCGAGCTGAGAAAGAGAGAAAATTTAACGCATATTCGTTTATCTTTACGCTAGATTTTTATATCTTTTCAGAATTTGTCATTATTTTCAACTTCCATATGATACATAATATAACTTCAACATATATAGGTTGAAGTGAATACTTTTTATGAGATAAGCATAAATCCCTCGCTTAACTATCATTCAACTAACTGAAATTTTCCAACTAAATTTATTGGTCCAACTAAACAATAATCCGCCAGTCCTTAAATTAAATTAGTTCGTTTCTTACCGTTGTCAACTTATTTAAAATATTGCCGGTTACTGGAACACCAAATTTCAAGTATCCAATATGTTTGTGACGAGCTTACATAAACTGATTGGTTTCTTTGGGCTCGCTTCTTCCCGGGTCTTTAGCAATCTGCGGTATGCGACGGTTTAGCCTTTCCAGTCAGTCAGGCAGTTACTGGTGGGTTTACATACCTTTAGGTTCAGACTTATGTTTTGAGGACCGAAGGCCAATGGCCTGTGTTAGTCCTCTCCCAGTAACCTTTTATGAGTGTATCGTCCTCTTTTGAATGAGCTAATTGAAGGCACGATAAAAAGTCTCGAGAACCGATGACTCAGTATGAAATCCTGAATGTCATGAATATGTTGTTCTTTCTTGTCTCTTGAACTCGCTTGCTGTGTCCTCGGAGTTGTCTGATATGGTACGAAGAAAGAGAAAAGATACGCTCGGTCGAAAGTCACTTCTTGGTATTCTGTACATCAAAATCAGACTACGTTTTAATCTGCGGCAGGACGGGATAAGAGGTCTAGCTTCTCGATTCGCTCTGTGAAAAGCATAGCTCGGACTTCTGAAGTTGCACAGGCAATTCCCTCCGTATTTTTTCTAAGACATTCGAGTCACCGTTTAAATAGGAGCTTGATGCGTGAACACAGCCGTCAAGTTTGGATCCCACTAACGTTGTGTATACTGTAGTAAATATATTGATTCGCAACTTGGTAAATGCCCGTCTTAAAGCCCTTAGGGTTCTGAAAGCCCTAACCGTAATTGCATAGCAGTGAGCCGTCGTCTTAAGGTAATGTCCAACCGTTACTCCAAGATCATTGTGAAGCCAGACTGCGGGCACAGATCCTTCTCGTATGCTTGGCCTATTTATTTCGCAGTATAAAAAGTAAAGAACCACATACAGAGTCTCGCGGTACTCCACTAAGTACTGGTTTACTGTAGGAGCATTTGAGATTTGTTATTAACTCCTGCCTACGACCTACCAAAAAAACAACTTTAGGAGTGATCCGGGAATTCTTAAATGTTCCAGCCTCGAGAGGAATCTACTATTCGGCACCTTACCAAAGGCATTTCAGAATTTCACGTAGAAAACACTCACTAATTTTTCATTATCTAGAGACTCTGTCCACTTCCTTACCGGAAAAAGGTTTGTTGTGTGAAATGGTCCTTTCCACAACAATGTTGTTCAATGTTTATCAGGTTGTTGATTTCCACGATTGTAGTTATTGCTCTTTTGATTATTCTTTACATTATTTTAACTACGACACTGGTAAGGCTGATAGGCCTGTATTTTGATTAAAGTTGTCTTGATCCTATCTTGTGAGTTGGCGTGAAATTCGCATCTCTCAAGTTCATCATTAACTCAACTTGACCAAGTGACTTATTGAATATTGTACTCAGCGAGACATCAATGCTTTGTGTAATGTTTCTCAAGATTTTAGAGTGTAGTTGATTTTTACGTGTCGTAAGTGCTAAATTCCATCAGTATATCGTTTTGATCGTGGTCCACGGTGGGCAGTCGATTTTCCAGCCTTGTATTTAGCTTTAGTCCTACGTCTAGAAGAGACTCTTGAGTGCTGTCTCGAAATAGTCTTCTCTAGTTTCTTCTTTGTGCCAGTCGTCCTCTGTTAAACAGAATGCATTCCCTTTCGAAATAAGTTTTGGAATCTGTAGTGTTTGAACGACTTACTGATACATTTGTATTCGATTTCGAATTCCAAATACAGTACATTCATTTGTGCTTGTGTCGCAATTCTTGATCCAATTGCGTTATTTCTGGGACTCTCAGATCGTACGATAATTCAAATACTTTCAAATATTATACAATCCTATCATGTGTTTTTGTTCCGCACCTTCCGCAACAGTTACTCCAAACATTTTTTTCAGATTGCGCTAAATGCTTTTCATATTTTCTCTAATATGTGCTTACATACTTATTTCAGATCCACCTATATCGCTTCATCGTATTTGCTAAGCCACTGATGATGGCGACGTTCCGAAACATCTTCTGCCCTAGTAAACATCGAATCTCCTAGCTCAACAGTAGATGAGCGTGCCTATTCTTCTTTGGGATTGTCCAGAGCACAAATGGTTGAATTATTTTATTGTATAACTGCCTAAAATGAGTCCTTTCCTCTCTTACTGATGCCTCGAAGTCAATTTCTCGGTTTTTAACCGAGGCTGTAAAGTTGATCACTTTCATGTCTGCCTTTCATATGTTAGGACATAGATTATTCGGATGTCAATTTTAAACTATGTGGGAAAGAGTAGTCTCCTAGCTAGGGAATAGAGTGATTTTGTGATAGGCCTATCATACTTAAAAAATCTGCTCATTGCGAAGTAAGATCGAGCTAGAGCGAAAGATAGAAATATTCAGACAGATGTTTTTTTCATAAATTTAAGTAAAGCCCTGACAAGGTTTCCCACCCGGAACTTGAATGAAAACCGGAGGTTTTTGAGGTCGGTTACGAAATCATGAACTTGGTAGGTGACTTTCTCAGTGATATAAGTCGATGGGAACAAGTAAATAGGACTCTATCAACGTGTGGGGGGAGTTCTTCAAAAAGTGGTGTTTTCCAATATATAATTCTCAGCCTTCTTTTTTCCCCTATTTTGATGACATCGACGATTGCAAAATCGTCTGTTTCATTCTTTGAAGATGATACAAGGAATTAAAAACCAATGGGCAATATGTCAGATAGAATACTATTACACGATGACCAAATTTCCCTGTTTGAATAGATAGACAGGTGGTCATTAGAAGCTAACTCTAGCAGATATAGTGATGCAAATAAATAACTGGAATGGTTCGTACCACTACATAGTATGTGGAGTTGTGTCAATTAAAGTATTGAACTACAAAGATGTAGATGCCTTTGTAGGAAACGACTTTGGAATTGTGAGTAACTGCAAGAATGCTGCTGTTAAGGGCTTCAGAGTCTTACGAACTATTCTCAGGTCATCTCATTACTTGCACGAGGAAAATATTAGGGTAACCGAATCTTGTGAGGCTGCATTTTGAATGTAGGATTCAAGCAGAATCCTTGTTTTAATTATGAAGCGGGTATGTTGAAACGAGTTTGATGCGATGGATTTGAAATGGTAAGCTACCTCTCTGGATTATCTCATGAAAACAGATTTAAACTACCCAACCTATTTCCGCCATATTATTGGAGGTTAAAGTGTGATCAGATGTTGACTTGTCATCTACTAAACGATGATCTTGGTATTAATATGTGATCAAATTAAGTGTGGTGACATATAAGTAGCAGCTTTTTTTAGTGAAATGTTCTAAACGGACCTTAGTTGCCAGCTAATAGATGTGAAAGAAGGTGATGGTCTTTCGTGCCTCTAGATAACCCTCGTGCCATTGATAGAAGAAACCAGACAAGTAGTAAATAGGTCTTTATTTAGATCTTCGTGCAGTCACAGTGGAGCGTGGTATTATTCGTTCAGACAAAAAAGCCTCTCAACATTCAGTATAAGATGTCTGTAGGGCAGAACATTTTGTTTAATTACGGCTCCTTATGGTTTAGTGGGATGTCACGAACTTATGGTATTGAAGCTGATTCATTCACGCAAAATACCTCTTTAAGTCGTGTTACGAACGTTGAATTGGTTTCACTTCCTACCCAGAAATCCTATTACAAGCAAACTAGACAATTCGCTAATATACGAAGCCTACTCAAGACCCTATAATAACTGGGGGAAAAATATTTTCACAGTGGACCGACGCTCTCCCACTCCTTTTACTAGGTATCCGCAATGCAGTGAAAGATGACATTGGATACACTGCGGCTCAACTCGTTTATGGAACGAGACTTCGGCTTCCAGGAGAATTCGTGGATCCTTCATTCTCCTCAATGAACATAGATCTAACCTCCTACACGAACAGGCTTACAAACTCAATGCGTTCAGTTAAACCTGCTTCCACACGATCACAATCCACCGATGTTTTCGTTCAACCTGACTTACAATATAGTACACACGTTTTCGTTCGTCGAGACGCACATCGACGACCATTCGAATCAGCATACGAAGGATCTTTCAAAGTTCTTCAACGCAAATCTAAGTACTATATAGTCGATAAGAACGGAACAAATGATGGCATCAGCATCGATCGCTTAAAAGCAGCGTATTTAGAAGGAAATCCTATTCACGTCGATTTTTCTTCGGTACAATCGCACAACACGACTCCTACACTCATAATTCCTCAACCAACAACCAACACTAGCGATGACACTCCGAATGTGCCTGAAAATAAACTTAAAACGACACGTTCTGGAAGAAGAGTAAGATTCCCAGAACATTTAAACGACCACTGCACGTAAAGCGCTACTCGACATTTTATATTTTCTCGATCCCTCCTTTTACGATATATAATTTTTTTTAAAAACAATTTTAATATGCTCATATATGTATATTTTTATTTAAAAAACAAAAAAAATCAAATTTTTTTAACGCTATTACGTGTGTTTGGGTTTATTGTCCTATTTTTTCGCCGACATCGCGTTTTTACGTACATACGAGTGTATTTCGACACTTACATTTTCTTTTTTCTTTTCCAGGACGGCTAGAAAAGAACGATGCAGTTTACGAGGAATTGAAAATGTTCATTGTACTTTTCTTTTTTTACTATGTTGTAACTCGGTCCCATATAGTAAGGAAAGACGACCAGACGCTGCTAAATTTAGTAAGCTATCAACGACAAACTCGTTGGGTTTAAACTTCTGGCTGGCCACGTCGTAGGGTCATCACTGCCCCACTAAGGGGGGAGTGATCTGTAGCGGTAAATAAATCCCCAAACTAAATAGCTCTGTAAGTTTTCGACATTGGATGCTGACCATATGTTTTAGTGGACTCATCTAGCTGAAGGCGATTGGTCATGCATCCGCACCAGATCACGTGTGGTAACGCTGTGCTCAACACCTACCGCATTCGCTAGCCAGATTAGATCAGAGATCTTCCGATATATTGGTTATCGCCAAATACACTCTTCCGATCTCCTCGACTCTGTCTTTTGATTTCTCTCG